GCCATCTTCTACTGCTTTCCCAGGCCATAGCAGAGAGCTGGGACCAGCAGCCAGGACTAGAACTGACACCCATATAGGAGGCCGACGCTGCAGGCCGGGACTTTTACCTGCTGAGCCACAGTGCCAGCCCCCATACTGTACATTTCTAAAAGAACCCATCTTCTTCTGGAAGGGCTATTCTTGCAACCCTAATTCAGACTCTGCAGCCTGCCTACATAGGGCTTTGCTGAGCAGTTAAGATCCTGGACACTAAGTTTTGGAGAAGTGATGTGGGCTGCTTCTTTTTTTAGGCTCTGTAAGAGTCAATTGCTAAGGCAATCTTCCCTCTCCCCACTCCCCGTTATACGCCCTGGATACATGTGTAAAGATCATGTCTAGGAAGAAGAGTAGACTCCACTGTATGGCTGAGAAATTGCATTGTCTTGTTCATCCTGAAACGTGGAGTATTTCTAAGTTACTCACCAAGCCAAAGATAGCTGCTCACTCCTGAGATAGGCAGTGCTTACCTTACTCATGGAACAATCAATTTGTGCTGGAAGGAAAGAGAGCTGCTCAGGCAGACGTTAGTAATCCCTAGATGACCCCAGTGAGAAATTCCCCTAGGGCCAAGTCTTCCTTGAGAGAAGATCTTTGAGGTGTCCAAGCTCCAGGAGTAACCGTCTTGAGCATGGGGCACCTGGGTGAGTACTTTTCTTCGCTGGGATGCTAAGATTTAGTAGAGAAGGGATGTGGCTCAATATTTATTTTGAAATATCGATGACTTCTCTTATTTCCTGTGTTTTTAAATTTTTTTTCTCCACTCCTCTCTTCCCCTTTCCCTCCAAACCTCACATTTTTGTGGAGTATCTCGGGGAGGGAGGTGGCAAGGAAACAAAAGCTCTCCCAGTCTTTCTAGTTTTTGTGTTCCAAAATCATAAGCCCTTAGTGAAGGGAGGCTAGCATTTAGGGGCAGACACCAAGTGTCTGGGCAAGAAAACTAGATAGAAGGAAGATTTACACAAGCCATATATATATATATATATATATATATATATATATATATATATATATATCTCTTTTCAATTTCACTCCCTTCTCCTTGCGGGGAAGAAGTTAGAAGAGCAGAGAGAGATCTGGGGGAGCTCAGGCAACACAGATTGGGCTCAGCTTCCCAGAAGCAACACTTGGTTGATGGGAAGACTTGAGAGGAAGGGCTGTGTGGACAGAAGGACCAACAGGAGAGCTCAACAAAGAATTCTGTGCCCTCATCATGGCAGAGATGCAGAGGACCACAGCACTTGAAAGGGTCCATGTGGACAGAGGGCCCAGCAGGATCTAAGGAACTAGAAGCAGATACCCCCTTTCCAAGCCTGAACACTACTGGAGATCCCCAAAGTGTGATATCACCTGGGTTAAGAGAATGCTAAGAATGATTGGTACGGGTGGGCATTTGGCACAGTGGTTAAGATGCCACTTGGAACTCCCACATCCCATATTGGAAAGCCTTGGATTCTGTCTGGGCTCCAGTCCCTATTCCAGCTTCTTCTGATCCATACCATGGGAGGCAGCAGGTGATGGCTCAAGTAGTTGGGTCCCTGCAACCCATGTAGGAGACCCAGATTTGGTTTTGGGCTCTTGGCTTCAATCTGGGCCACCCCTGGATGTTGTGGGCATTTGGGGGAGTGAGCTAGCAGATGGGAGATATCTGACTCTGTCTGTCTTTCAAATAAAATTAAAATAAGTAAAAATTTTTTAAAAATGGTATTTTCCCAGTTACCTGTTAAAAGAGGGCATAGAGTCAGAAATTGAGTTCCAGAAACAGTCACAAGTCTACCCACGGCCACAGCAGTTAGTTAATTATGCATCTTGTTGATGGAAGGAGCAACCAACCAGTGTGGTAGGAAGGAAACCAATAGCTAGTAGGGATATGAAACTAAACTCCACCGGTGCCCTCGTGGAATACAGGGGGGTCTACAAATGATTCCAGTGAAAGCTTTTGTAATTTCTTGGCACCAGATCTTTCAGGAAAGATGAACTAGATTATTGGAAGGATATATTCCTGGAATAATGAAAAATCAAATTACAAGTGGTTAATATAAGTCCAATTTTCTCTTTCAGGAATGGGAACATCACAAATGCCACTTGAGAGACACTGGAAATCAGTGGGTAGGAAGGGAATGTTCCCTGACATATACTGGTGAGTATCTATAATTGCCAACTTCCCTTTCTGCCCTGCGGTGGCATTTTTGCTGAGTTATGAACTAGATTATCTCCAACAGATGAGCACACATGTCAATAAAAGCTCTAAATTGAGAAGGGCTTGTACTTGGATGGGGAGCAGTCCTTTGGTTTTTGAATTTTTAATGCTCGTAAAAGTCACACTACCTAATAGTTATTTAATAAGTGTGTGGCTGTCAAAGAGGACTGCAGGAAAGCGTTCACATCTGGGCAGGTTAAAGGGCTAATATTTGCAACCATTGTTCTGTATTGATGACATCATCAGACTCAGTCAAAGGTGGAAGGGCAGGATACAATTCAGGTAGATGCCTTGCCTTTTTTTTTTTTTTTTTTTGACAGGCAGAGTGGACAGTGAGAGAAAGAGACAGAGAAAAGTCTTCCTTTTCTGTTGGTTTACCCCACAATGGCCGCTGCGGCTGGTGCGCTGCGGCCAGCGCACCGCGCTGATCCGAAGTCAGGAGCCAGGTGCTTCTCCTGGTCTCCCATGTGAGTGCAGGGCCCAAGCACTTGGGCCATCTTCCACTGCCCTCCCCGGCCATAGCAGAGAGCTGGACTGGAAGAGGAGCAACCGGGACAGAATCCAGCGCCCCGACCGGGACTAGAACCCAGGGTGCGGGCGCTGCAGGCGGAGGATTAGCCTAGTGAGCCGTGGCGCCAGCCAATGCCTTGCTTTTTTGTATAGGCTGATGTGTGTGGTGTTGGTAGAGGTGGGGCAGCACTGAGAAATAGAAATGGTGGCTACAGTGTCCAGTTTCCATGTCACGGGAGTCAGGACCTACAAAGACTTGGAATAATTTGGCCATCTTTGAAACTACCCCTGGATGGTTGTTTGGCTGCTGTTCCTCTTTTCCCCATAGTAGTCAACAGTTCCACAGGGAAAAGGGATTACCTTCAGGGGCAGTCAGGAAAGAAGGAATGTGGGAGGTCCTATCCATTCTTCAGCTAACTGGGAATGCAGAGACCCTGGAGGTAGAGTGGTGGCACTGTTAGGAGAAACAGTATCTTGTTCTTCCAAATCTCCCGGAAGGGAAGCTATTCACAGGTGGAGTGGCTAAACCACATAGCCTCATTTTCCCCTCAGAATCCTCCCTTCATTGTCACAATTGTTAGACAGGAGTTCGGATTTATTAAGGGCATGGCCTGGTTTCTCTACATGTTCTGACAATATCGGGATTAATAATCCATCTTCCAGAAGAAAAGGGCAGTTAAATCTTTTAATAGGGCTATTCTTAAAGATCTGAAAAAGTTTGAGGTTCTGAGGCCTACAACAAGAAAAGATTAGGAAAAAAAAGGTGGCGGAGAAGGGAGAGGCTGGTATAACTCAGTGATAGGGCCCCTAGGCTGGGTAATTGAAAATATTAGTCTGGTATTTCCCAAATAGTTTCAAGCCCTCAAGGCATCCTGGAGAAATCCCACCCTTCAGAAGCTTGCCTTTACAGACATTGATGCCAGATGCATGTGTGAGGATCGAAAAATGCCAGTACTCTGTAGTGAGCACACGTGGATTCAAGTTCTAACTCTTCCACACATAGTTGTGTGAACTTGATCAACTCAAGTCCATTCTCCTCTGCTGAGCCTCAGTTTCCTTCGCTGTCGAGTCAGGATTGATGTGGGATTGACAGAAACAGTTGTGCACTGCACAGAAAGCAGTTCTTAAAGCCTCTGCGCCGAGCTTAACAGGTAGTGACAGCTTGATGGACGCAGCATTCCCCACCAGCTGGAGCATCTAGGGGTTTGTCAGGGAGGTGGATGGTGGGAGACTAGAGAGAGCCAGCCTCAGGGGGAGGTATCCTTTCCGCATGCGCGCGGTCTAGGCGCTCCGCTGAGCAGCCAGGGGGCGGGGCCAGGTTTCTAAAGGGGTTGCTATGGCACCGAGGGGCCAGGGGAGGTTAACCGAACCCTTAAAACATTGCTCCCTCCCCCACCCGCCAACGCCAGGGCCGAGGGCCATTGTTACAGGCAAAATGGCGTCGGTAATCCCCCTCCCGGTCAGAGGCCTAAACCAGGCTGAGGGTGGGAGTGGGGACTGAAGGTGGGAACAAAAACTACAATTCCCAGGGTACACTGCACCCGCCTGCGAGGCGCAGGGCACGTGCCCAGGCCTAGCGGTTACATGCCGTCAAAAATCCGTTTCATAGCTTCCCTTTCCCATCCCGGCTTTGGTTGTTTCCCAGCCCCCGCGCGCGCGCACTGCAGTCCTGGGGGGTGGGGGGACATGCCGTGGTCGTTGCCCTCGAAACGTAACCGGGAGACCGGTATTTGTAAATCTGTGCTTCGACTTCTAATCCCGAAGCCGGCAGGTATGAGTCTCGCGAGACAAACCGGGAGTTGGAAAGAGGGAGTTAGGGGTGGCGGGCGAAAAGGTGCTGGCGAGTACCAAATTTCTAACAGAACTACCGCATTTAGAGGGAGGCTTGCGGAGAACTGAGAGTGGGCGGTGGGGGGCTAGGAAGTAGTGTGTGTGTGTTTGGACTTTTTTTTTTTTTAAGGGGCCAGGATAAAACAGCTGTGGAGGGTGCGGGCGCTTGCGAACACACAGGAGGTATCGCGCGTGGCTCCTTACTGAGATTTTCTTTTTGCAAGGGGAAGAAGCCTTTCTCCTCGACGCGCATCCCTCTCTCCCGCTGCGTTGAGGCGGGCGGGGGAGGAGTGCGCACGCTCTAGTTGGCTAGCCACTCGGCACCTCGCTGCGATAGGGGCCCTCCGGAGTTGGGGCTGCTCCGTTGGCTTTCTCCGCCCCTCCCCCTTCTCCTTTCCTCCCCTCCCTTCCCCGCCCCCCTCCGCCCCTCTCTCCAACCTATCTGAATTCCCTGGCTGGAGTACGCCTGCGCCTGGTCAGCTCCAGGGCGAGCGCGAGCTTGGGCTCGTACCCCGCTCCCCTAACCCCGCCCGCTCTTTACCTACTGGCCGTAGCTTTGGCCCGGTGGGCTCCCGGGGAGACGCTCCCGCGCGCACGCGCACACGACGCGAAGCAGAGCTCGAGACATCGAGGAGGGGAGTAAGAAGCATCGGAGGAAGCGATAGAGGAGGAGGCGGTGTGTGTGTATGTGTCTATTCTATGGTGTGGCTCGTCGGGGGGCTGGAAGAGGCTTGGGAGAGGGCCAGGGAGAAGCGAAAAGAGTCTGTCTCCTTCCGTGAGAACCTCTAATTTGGTGAGGGTCCCGGGCCGGCCGGGGCGCAGAGAGAGGGAGGAGGCCGGGGGGCGTGTCTGGGATCGGGCTGAGAGATGAATGGGCCGGGGATGAATGGAGGGAGGCAGAGGCGGCCAAGAGTCTGTTAGGAGTAAGCGCCCTAGTTGGGGGCGGCTTGACCGAGGCAGGGTGAGTGCCATCACCAATAGGTACCGGCCGAGGCCAAGCTCGGGTCTTCGGGGTTGTCGGCGCTGCTGTCGAAGTGACTGAATGGGTAGCGAAGAAAATTTAAGAAGGGGAAAGTGAGGAAGGGCAGATGTGGGGTTGAGGTGCATTTTTTGTTTTGTTTTTGTTGGGGGGTGGTGGCAACTTTGGTAGCGAGGACAAGAGCAGGGGACGGGAAAGGTGCGGAGGTAGCAGGAGATGGTTGACAAAGGACTGAGGGATCGTTTAAGTGAGATTAAGGCTACCGAAAACGAAGATCGCGTCGGGTGTGGAAGTTGAGTAAGGGTTTGGTGGGTTATGATGGTGGATTTACTTTAGAGGTTCAGTGGGTGTGTGAGGGTCGATGAGACCGGATCGCAGTAAGGGGTATTGCTGTCTAGTTTCTTAGGTTCAAGGAGATTGAGTGTTATTTGGAAAGGGATGGTGTGTGTTCTGACTGACAGAATGGAGATGGGGAAGGGATGGTATAATAGGGGTGAGGTGGCTTCACTGCACTGGCAGTGGTTTTGTTTGACTAGGTGAGTGGTGAGACATCTGGGTAGTGGAGTGCGGGTGGAAATTATGCACGTGTGTATATCTCCCTGTCTCAGGAGTTCATAGAAAACTGGTAAAATGAGACCTCAAACCAGAGAGTGCTATGGCTATTCCTTCTTGAGAGTTAATATTGACTGAGGCAGTTATGTGAATAAATAGCCCTTGAGTTGTAAAAATCTTTGAAGTAGTGATTGCATCCAATTTCAGAGGCTTTGTTGCCTGTTTGTCATCTATAGTAAATTGCCGTACCAAGAGAACTTTTGGAGAGGTCTTAGTGTATGACACAGAGCAGCAGGTGTCTTCTGGACAGTCGCTATCCTTTGGATTGGTGCCTTTAGAAATTGTTGAAATTGGGCAGTGTGAAGGAAAGATAGTTTTCCTTAAAGGATAACTGAAATGCACTAGAGGTGACTTTTGGATGCTAAAAAAAACTATGTGTGATCTTTTTGGTCATTTTCAGCTTATTTGAAAATTGGCGTTTTTTTTTTTTTTTTTGGTGTGAGTTTAAGTTACAATAGAGTGTGTGAATGTTTTGTTCTCTGATTACTTATCTTCTTTTAAGGATGTCCTGTGATGATTCATTCTGTTCTGGGTCAAGATGAATAGTTACGGATTTTTAACTTTTCATGATTATTTTCATATTTTTTACTGAAATGTATTCATTCAAATGAACACATTTTAATATCGGAAATGTTGCAAACTTGAGAGCATTCTCATGCTATTTTTCCTTTATTCTGCTTTGGTGTTTCAGGAGTGTAATCTTGTTTTGGCTACCTCCCGCCTGAATACCAAAATTAATAGTATGTTTCAAGTCTCATATTGAGATGAATACTTAGTATATGAAATAGTAGGTTTAAAGGCATTGTGTTAGTTAAAAAGTGTTACATTCACTCTGCCAGGCAAGGTGGCTTCTCAGTTCTGAACTAGATGTTCTTCAAATGGAACTGCATTCAAATATTGTGGCTTAAAAAGTACAAGCAAAGCGTGTTTGGGGAGTGGAATGAAATAACATTGGACTCTTAGGTTGAGGCTGGAGTAAAGGACTACGTTAAAAGAGTTTAGGAGCCCTTGTTTTAAGAACCAAGGCTGATCTGCAATGTCTTCTCTGCCTTTTCTTCTGATGGCCCCTTCGACCTGGAATAGTCTTTCCTTCTCCTTTTGAATTTAAGACTTAACCTCTATTAGCATTCCTGAAAGCCTTTCTTGCTTCCTCCTCCCCCTCCCTCCCACCTCCGCTCTACCGAACTAGAGTTCCCATTACACCTTGGTCATAATTTTGTTACTGTGTATCTGTTGAGAGGCAGGCAGGAAAGGTACTTTCATCCTTACATGTGAAAGGGAAAATGAAACGTGAAAAATAAGACCTGCACTAGTAAGTCTGTGGTAGACCCTGGAATTCTGATTTCACTAAGTTGCCCATTGTTTAGTCAGTAAATGATAAAGCCAATGGCTATAAATTATCAAAGTAGACAGATGTAAAGAAAATAACAACTATTATATTACTATCAGATTTCTAGTCAGATAATTGAATTAAAAATTAAAGGACTGCTTACATTTTTGTGTGTTTTTGAGGTGGGGGTAGAATTGTATATAAGAAAAAATCCTTAGTCTCATCTCCGTATAAGTAGACCAACTCTTTTCTTGCAGATATACTTGATTATGTCTCTTGGCTAAAACCCAGAATTCCTTTAAAACAGTGGGTCTTTTCCAGTTTTGTTTGCATTATAAAATTGATGGCATTGTTAGGAAATATTTGATGGCTGTAAAGGACATCTATAAAAGCATTTATTCAGAAATTCCCAAAGCTTCAACAGTAGAATTAATGCCATAGCCCCTGGTGAGAATTAATCTGCCATTTCTATGGATTTGCTTATTATGAGTGTTTCATATAGATGGAATCATATGATATATGAACTTTTTATATCCAGCTTCTTCCACTTAGCACGTTTTTGAGATTCACACATGTTATGGCATATACTAACACTTTATTCTTTTTATGGTTGAGTAATATTCCGTTGTATAAATATGCCATGTTTTGAATATCCAGTCTCCTATTCATGGATATTTGGGTTATTTTCACTGTTTTGGCTTTTGTGAATATTGCTGCTCATGAATATTTCTGTACAAGATTTTGTTTAAATACCTGTTTTTAATTATTTTGGGCATGTTACTAAGAGTGAAACTGTTGGATCATTTGGTAATCCTTTGTTTAATTTTGTTGTGAAACCATCAAACTATTTTCCACAGTGCCTCTAGGATTTTACATTGGCACTAGCCATAGATGAGGGTTCCAATTTCTGTACATCCTCACCCACACTTGTTGCTTGCTTGCTTTCATTTTTTAAAAAAATGACCATACTAGTGGGTGTAAAGTGGTATTTCATTGTGATTTTGATTTGTATTTCCCTAATGACTAATGATGTTGGGCATCTTCTCATGTACTTGTTGACTGTTTGGATTTTTTAAGAAAGATGTCTATTTAAATCTTCTGCTTGTTTTAAAAATTTGGTTGCTTGTCTTTTTATTGTTGACTTTTAAAAAACAAATTTTAAAAAATATTCTAGGTACTAAATTCTGATCAGATATATGTTTTGCAACTAGTTTCTTCTGTGAGTTATCTTTTAAAAAATTTATTTTATTTATTTGAAAGAGTTACAGAGAGAAGTAGAGACAAAGAGAGATAGAGGTCTTCCATCCGCTGGTTCACCCCCCAAATGGCTGCACCGGCCAGGTTCCAGGAGCTTCCTCTGGATCTCCCACATGGGTGCATGTCTGCAAGCAGCCATCCTCTGCTGCTTTCCCAGGGAGCTGGATGGGAAGTGGAGCAGCCGGGACTTGAACTGGCATCCATCCATATGGGATTCTGGCGCTACAGTCCAAGGTTTTAACCCACTAAGCCACAGCGGCAGCTAATCTTTTTACTTTCTTGAGTGTGTTTTGTTGCACAAAAGTTTAGAAATTTGCTGTTTATTTTTTCTTATGTTGCTTGTACCTTCAGTGTTATATCTAAGAAACCATGGCCAAATCAAAGATCATGACCATTTTTCCTTATATTTTCTTTGAAGAATTTTGTAGTTTTAGTTCTAACGGTTAGGTCTTTGATCCACATGGGAGACCCAGATGATGTTCTGTGTTCCTGGCTTTGGCCTGGACTGACTGTTGTGGGCATTTGAGGAGTAAACCTGTGAATGGAAGTTTTCTCTTTCTGTGTCTCTCTTTGTCTCTCAAATAGGTGAAAATAAATAAACATTAAAAAAATAGGTGAATAACTGCTTTTTACTCATAAGAAAAGTGAAGCAAAACAAAAACAAGTGCATTCCTTTTGAATAGAGAGGGTGTTCCCCAGTGACAATTTTATTGGAGTAGGAATCAGCCTGGGTTCTAGGCTGGTCCGCCTGTGATCTTGTATATCTGTAAGCATCTGTTTCCTTATTTGTTACTGAACAAAACAAAAATCTTATGTACTTTGCAGGACCTTCCTTCCTTCCTCCCCTCCCCTCCCCTCCCCTCCCTTCCTCCCTTCCTCCCTTCCTCCCTTCCTCCCTTCCTCCCTTCCTCCCTTCCTCCCTCCCTCTTAGATTTTTCTATTTATTTGAAAGGCAGAATTAGAGAAAGAAGGAGAGACAGAGAGACCTTCCATCCTCTGGTTCACTCCCCAAATGGCTGTAACAACTGGGCTGGACCAAGCCAAAGCCAGGAGGCAGGAGCTTCTTCCAGGTCTCTCATGTGGGTACAAGGGCCCAAGGACTTGGACCATCTTCTGCTGCTTTTCCAGGTGCATTAGCAGGAGCTGGATCAGAAGTGGAGCATCCAGGACTTGAACCAGTGCCCATATGGGATGCTGGCACTGCGTGCCGTGGCTTTAACTCACTGAGCCACAGCACCAGCTCTGTGCAGGGTTTCTTTGCTAATCAAGTGAGAAAATTTACTCTTTGTAAATTGTACAACTACATATGAAATGCAAAGGATTCTATTAATATATTTTTTGAATCAAAGTGTCTCAATTGAGAAATGTTTTCCCACCAATTTAAAGCTTTTTACCCATCTGGTAACTTTTAGCACCAAATGTCTAAACTCACTGATAATCAGGAGAGGTTGGGTTCTTAGAAAATGGTAGTGTGGGCTGGCTCAGTGGCGTGGACTTGGGCAAGAC